ACTACTTTGACTACTTTCAAAGTAGTATGTATTCGCCTAACAATAAAATCTATTACCCAATACAATAAACGTTTGCAAAATGCATTTGAATAATAATACGGTATTTACATCCGTATTAGAAGTCGTGGAAAAAACTGGTTTGTCTGTCTACGGTGCGAAAAGCAGACGTGCCGCTAACACACTGACACTAAATAAAGATTTATTTCAGGGAGAAATGTTCTGTCTTTTATAAATCGTGATCTATGCCGTTGCCGTATATGATTTATTCTGTGGCACTCGCCATAATTGACTCTTATTTATGTGACTTGCGGATAAATATAAATGATATGGAAATAAACGGACGAGAGGCAATTTTTCACACGCTTTTTAAAGAAGATCAAATAGGCATTAATATATCAATATTAGCACAAGAGGGAATGGAAATTGAAAGAGGCGAAGATAATAATAAGATGTTTACGCAATTCCAATTTTTTGATAAAATTCATATTTTCAATAGAAATCTGGAGAAAGAACTGTATGAACCACAAGACAAAAAATAGATTTAATTGGACTCAATTCGTGGACAGTAAAAGTTTCAGCGAGGTACGAAAATTGACAGCTATTTTATTTTTAACTGGGTTGTGATATTCAAAACTTGTTTAACTGCCGTTTATAAGGGTAGTCAGATTATCTTATTTCAATCATTATATACGATGAATGCTATAGCATCCACGTCAAGTATTCGCTTCTATTTTACGCAATGTGCTTGTCCAAGCTAATTAGTGACTACGAGAAAAAAATTAGATAACACAAATTTTTGTAAGCTGTTACAGAAATTTTCTTTCTCTTTCGTTTGACCGTATAATGAGCAAAGTCACAAACGTCAAAAAGACTCTGGTAATCCTCGTGTCAAAAATACCAAGAGAATCAGTTAGTCATTACCTTGGAAAATGAAATGATCACAAAAAAGTAATAAAAAATATCACCAAAATAATTGACTTTTTACCAGATCACCCAAACAAATATTTAAAAGAATTAGGGGAGGAATCTCCTACTCGAAGATTGAAAAAAAAAGGCAATAGGATCTTAAATAAAATGTCAAAAAATAAAAAATAAAATATATCTTATAGGAGATAAACTCTTAAAATGCATTTACACCCAGCATATTGTCAAAAAAATATTATTTTGATTGGCAATAAATCTATGAAAATAATAATAATAATTGACTTTAATATTTGAATGCTATAGCTTTCATGTCATTCTACATCACATTGAAAATGAATGCTAGAGCATTCACTCCGTATTACCAAAAATAAATTTATCCATGATAATAAATTAAGTTTTACGATAATATATATTATAATTACGTTAATGTAGCTATAAATAACGCTAAATTAATGCGCAAGTTTAATTACAACAATAAATTGACCAATAAGAATTTCAAATATGCAAGGCCAAAGGTGCGCCAGTTCTAAAATTGTCATAGAAAGAATTAAAACATATTGTTTAATTTTTTTATCGGCCAAAATATATTACGAATTTACTTTTAATGAGCAACAATCTTCATTTATAGTGATTTATTATTAATAGTTTAATGAGCAAATACTACTCGTAAAATATTTCACAGTATTAAATTTTACAAATTCTGATTGCAAACTTGTTGATGTTTTATGCAAAAAACATCGTATATACAATATTTATGCTAATATTAAATAATAAATCAAATTCTGAGAAATAAAATATTGAAAATGCAAATCAGCTATGAAAGTGCTCTTAACATAGCGAGAGTTACAGCTTCTGTACATTCTAGAAATAAAATATGGTAGTAAGGCGTAATAAAAATAATAAAATATTGTTGTAATGAAATTGTATATAAAAACGATAGGCTATTTGTTTTTCTCTAATAAAATCTTAACGATAATTTATAAAAATATTTACTAGCTATATGAGCCTATGTGGTAAATAAATAATAATTAAGCGGTCTAAGAATGAGGAAAAATTGAGAATCGGATTTCAGGGCTTTGATTGACTTATATACTAAATTATAACCCATAATAATGTAAGTTAAAAATTTATATTATAAAGGTCCACATGTGAAAAAAATCACCATCATTATTTCAAAAACAAGCAAAGTGTAGAATTTTTTAAAAAGACTAGATTTAAAAAATAGTAGGCAAAAGATGTGTAACCAGCCATTACCCTAATTCTTACAACGTCACAATCAGAAGATGATTATTATAACTATTTTTTCGTCTTGAGCTCCTGTATTTAGTTTTTAATGCCAAAATAAACTTTTTATCGTTATTTTCAAGTTAAGGGACGTCCATTAATCACGTGATCGAGTTTTTAGGGAATTTTGGACCTCCCCTTGGTGATACGTCGTGATATTTAAAATTACACCCTCCCCCACCAAACATCACGTGTATTTCTAGTTAGGTAAAATTTTTCGAACAAATTTTTTTAAATGTTTGTTTTTTTTCAAAAGTTGAGGTGAAAAAAACACTCCCCCCCTCCCCATAAAAGCCTCACGTGATTAATGGACGCCGCCTCAGATTCGCCAGTTCTTTTTTTTAGATAATCTTTATGAAAGCTTACATGTAGGTAGAGTAAAAAGGACCAGCTAAAACTTTACATTAGCAAAGGTGTAAACAATAAGAAATAGTAAATAAAATTGCACCTCAGCAAATAAATATCAAATGGGACCTTTGTGCCCCGCTTTGACCTACGTTTAACTTCAAATATCTGTTACAATTAGGTTAAAATGATAGATGAATAAGCAGACTGGCAAAAATAAACGAAACATCAAAAACTCATTCTTCGGGATAAAGGAATAAAATCCAAAAATACATAGAATTTTTTAGCAAGATCAAACAAACCGAAATAAACCGTGTTATATCCACATCTTTTCTGTCCGCAATGGTCCGCGCTAAAATACATTTACGTATTCCACCCCAGACAATTTACGAAAAATTATTTTTACGCAATGTGCTTTTTATAGGAAACAAGTGGAGCCATAAAAATAATATATTGCGTGGAAAATGTGATGAAGCAAAATAAAACCTGAGTCATTAAGAGATAATTTATATAGCGAATTATCATGGCAGTATATTCATGTAAATCATGAAACTAATTAATTTAAATTTTAAGAAATCTCACATAGAAATGGAAATGGCAAAAACACAAAAGAGTAATAGACCGATTCTGCCGCATAACAGACCAATGTAATGGCAAATCTATGTTATGAAGAACTTTCCATACTGAATATTGACAAAAGAATAAAGACAAATGTGGTTGCGATGCAGTCAGGCGTTTTTCTTAGGTTGTCAGATAGAAAACCAAACCTAGCAACTGCATAAATGTCAAAAAAAAACGATCTTAGATGACAGGGTCTTTCAGACACAGCTTCATAACATAAGAGTGATGTTGCAGTTTATGTGTAAAACTGCCGGAATGCACAACAAATACATGACATTTTGACAGTATTCAGTATTATTCAGTATTATAACATTTTTCTGTTATGCGGCAGAATTGGTCCATAAGTCTATTAATATAGATTTTTACAAAATGTTATGTTGGTTAGGTAAGCGTAATTCAATTTCCCCAGTTATTCTATAAAATAAACTTTGAAAAAATATCTTTAATCTTTAATGCCACTGTACATTAATTAAAGAATAACGTTTGAGGCTGAAGCACTTAAACTGTCAGAACACGTAATGCAAATATTGACGACCATTAATTGAAATTACAAAAGCTCTATTGAGCTATAATGGTGAAGAAGGAAACTTGAGAGTTCCTATATAACATCAAATATAAATAAATATTTGGATTTTCATAGCATAATTAATATGCAAATAATATGGAATCTGGTAAATGTAATCCTTGAATTCATTAATGATGTTGTAGTCGTAGTAATGCAAACTTTATTACGAACTATACTTAAGTTAATTAATTACTTTGCAATGAATGATTGAAATTATCGTTAAATCAATTGGAAATGAAATTAATAAGTAAACTTATAATGCAATAACATTCATATTTATAGAAAGAGTTGCTGGTTTTAATGTTAATGTTAATACTAAATCAATGGATCATTTAGAGACGAGGTTAATCGATGACTTAATTAAATTTAAGTCAATGTTAAACACGTTTCGCCGATTAATAGCTTCTAGTAGACATTTAAGAGAGCGTCCATTAATCACGATTTTTATTTAGAGATTTTTGGACTGTCCCTCTCCCATGGTGATACGTGATGATATTCAGAATTACCCCCCCCCCCGGCAATTATCACGTGTATTTTTAGTTACGAGAAAAAAAAATTTTTTTTTTTAATGTTTAAATTTTTTTTAAAACAATCTGGTGAAAAATAAGTACAGGTAATATCTTACTTACCCCACCCTCACAAGTATTCCCCATGTCATATTTTATGATCTTTTGTCAACCCCCCCCCCTCTTCATAAAAACCTCACGTGATTAATGAACGCCCCCTAAAGAGTAAGTTATAGTAATCGCAAAAAAAAATTGGAAATGAACATTTTTATATATTTTTACGTTTTATGACCTTCTGAACATTTTGCCATACCTTACAATTAAGAAAATTTATGTTGTGTGTGTGCAGTGTATTTATGTGCGTATACTTGGATACCGTTTCGAGAGTACGGATCAACCAATTCGAATGATTCAAGAAAACATTCGATTGTTATTGATGGGGAGGCGTGCTGATTAGTTTTTGGTAAAGACAGGTAAAGTCGTTTAAAAAATTCGGGCCAAAATGCGCCAAAATATTAAAAACACTTTACATATCACGATTCATATTAGATACACAAGTGACTGGTAAATTAGTAAGGTGTTGGTGACTAAAAAGTTTATGATTTCCGATTATGAAATCGTATCGATTATTATGAATTCTAATTTCTGCATAAAACCGGCTAACATGTATATCATGACATTAAACTAATTCATAGATTTTTATCAAAAATAAAAGATAGAAAAATAAAAAATAATTATAACATTTCAAAGGATATTCAACCATGGCTTGCACTCCATTCTTCTTGAAGATCACTATGCGGACAACCTTTCCATGTTGGACACAAATTGTGTGCAGTACATCCTGAAACAAAAAAAAATAAAATTAAAAATTTAATCATAGAAGTAATAATTTTTTTTATCAATATAAGTATTTTATTGTCAGTAACTTATAAATTTTTTCTGCGATTGCTGGATCACTGAAAATTACACTAGTCTAATAAGTCGTTCAACCATTTGACAACCCAACATTGAGCACATAAAAAAAATTCACGAAAAAACTTGTCAAAGATATAGTTCTTGTCCAAAATGAAACAAAGTAAAAATATATGAACTCAACTTTATTCCCTTAAAAGCACTCTGCAACAGTAAACTAAATACATCTTATAACTCCACAATACATTCTGCATTTGTTCCTGCAGTTTTCGCAGAATTTCTTCCTTAGTTCTTTGGAGAAAATTGTCCTTCGGAATAGCAAATGAAAGTTTTAATGGGACATTATTAGCCGAGATAAGGATAAAGAAGAAGTACACAAGCCTCTTTACTAGATTCGTAGAATTTCATTTTCAAACTATTCTGCGAAAAGAAAAGTTAAGTAAAGAAAAGTCTCTATTCCTGCTGAAGCCAAGACTCACTTCAAGGGAAGAAATTGAATAAGATAATTATATTTTCCTGGTGAGTGCGACAATGTTCATTTAGGTTCAGTATCAAGAAAGCAGAGCATTGATGATCGAGTTAAATTAATTTAAAAAAAATATCACGAAAGGAATAGGAAAAAGGTAAAGTGGTAAAATAAAGAACTCTACTAAGGAAGATCAATAAAATGAAAAGAAACTAGATTGGACCCAAAAGAGTGCCTCCTACACCATATCGTCGAAGGCAAAATAGAAGGACTGAAAGGATTCGGAAGAAGAAGAATGCAGATGATTGATGACTTATTGTTAGGCAAGACGAAAAAACACAGGGAACTGAAAGTGGAAGTACAAGACCAGAAATCAAGGAAACAGAACTTTGGAAAGGAAGAATCATAAAAAATGGATAAAAAGTGATAAATCGTAATGGCAATAATAAACAAGGTAAGGAAAAGGAATAATTGACTTGTGGTGTCCTTATCTGGCCTAAAAAGTTTTCTAAATTTGGAAACTTCATTGAACGCATATTTATGCAAAATGGTTGCAATTCTCTATTACCATAAAATTTATTGATGCAGTTGAGTACAGAAGATGATAAATTTCAAATATATCAGTAGTATAATCAATATTTTCTATTTTCCTCAGAAATTATAGAAAACACCGATGTGATGGTTTTACCCGTGTACATTTATAATTAGCTCTCGTTTGACAACTGATTTGAATTTATTAATTACAAATGTCACCTCAATGGTCACGGCCCATATAATATCTAACACCAGAATTCAGCGCTTGCAATCATTAGCGCGCTAATTAAAAGTGCACATGCTCCCAAATAAACGACAATAAATCAATACTACGTGAATTATTTGCAACATACCAGACAGATCCTGGTTACGGTTTCCGCCATAGAAATAGAGCTCAAAGCTCAAAGGCTTAATTACTTATAAATAACGCAAGAATAATCAGCAAACAATGTATATTAATGAAATCGTGTCTAATGGAGATTAATATGGTACTAGATAAGGGGTAATTGATTGATGGTTCATACTGCATACCATGAAGTATCGAATGAGGTTTGTTCTATCAATAAAATTCAATTAATCAATTAAATCAACTTTAAAACATACACGTCTTTTTTTTCATTTAGCAGCAATTAGAACTATAAGAATCCTATAAGCTGTTATGATGATACTGAACAACGTAACTTTTTTGGACGGCAACGCAAAAGGCTGGCCTTGCTCTATTTCAAATAATTTATTATTATATTTTTTTAAGTAAAACTTCTTTAGGCGCGACTAGGGTGTAAATCTGTGAAAATGCAACGAAACAAACTTTACCAATACTTCACCCTTCGCTCTCGATGATATCATTTCTATACGGGTCGATTGTGATTGGTTGTCGTGTCGCGTGAGTATGATTACTTTGATTACATAATAAGTGAAACAACTGTTCTCGTTCAAATGCTCAAGCTTACAATTTCATTTTACTGATCCAGAGCGTTTAATACTACAAGTCGCATATTTTTATAAATGATGATAAATAATGAAGAATGGATTGATATTCAGATTTATCACTCTAAACAAGAAATCAAGCACAACAATAGTCATTTATATACTTCATAATAAACATCTATGCAATTTATTTATTGCTAGTGTTAATGAAATTATTCAAGATTGTTGTATTGATAGCTGTCCACTGTGTGAACGAATATTATAGAATTTAAAATCAGCAATTACTTTATTTCTCTAACACAATTTCCTTAAGGCGCAAGTTCTAAATGCTAATTACAATGACAAACCGATCATGCCGTATTTCAGGAATGACTTTAATTATATTATTGTTTTCAAAAATTATAAATGCTTTTCATGCTACTATAAATATATAATTTATAATTTATTATTATATAAATATGTATAATGTTTGACATTAAAAAATGTGCGTATCACGAGTGTTACCATATTACTAATGAACAGTATTCAAAATTGTTGTATGATGTTTTTATTTTTAACTTAAATGCCATCTCGTACAAGAGCAAAAAAGTTTCACTTCAATCGCGTGTAACCTTACGCGCACTCTTTTTTCTAATACTTATGATTTTTAATGTGATGCAGCAATGCCGGATAAGGGTCAATTCTGCTCGACATCAAACCTGAAATTTTTTACTAAAAACTCCTAGCCCTAACTACTAATCCAATGCCAAATGTAAGAACAAGAAGTGCGCCGATTTTGATTACAAGAAAACCTTTTTAAAAGCCATTATTTCCTTCTAATTTCATTATTGAATTTTATTCTTTTAGTACATAATGTAAGAGTTTAAGGACTGTTCCGTACAAATTTCGTACAGAAATAACTATTTGCTGTAAAAATCTATTTCTTGTATTAATTGGTCTAAGGTTAATCATTTTCAAATTTTGTTTCTAATTTCATCAAATTCATGTCACGATCAAGTCGTATCTACTATGAATTATTAATCAAAATTGACAAAATATGTTACCATTAAAAATTCCTTTGATGTATAAGAAAACAATTTCTTAACATGAAACTATATCCGAGGCAATCATATCAACCGGAAGTGGCAGTCTTTGTTATTCTTTCGCAAAAAAATGTAATTCCTTCAGAAAACTCATATCTTGCTCTTGTCTAATGCCAGATGAAACGTCAACTCGTATCAAACTAAGAAAAATCTCCAAAGTTATTACATCAAAGAACTATATCTTGGGGAGAAGCACTGATGTCCAACTTAGATATGAACTTTAAAAAACTTTGTATCTCTAAATTCATCAGGTCGACGTAGTTGTGAATATGGACATCAGGTGTTGATGCCTATATTCACAAAGTGCTCTAATTTCTAAAAATGACAGTGGTCCAGATGGAATTTTATATTTCGATATACTGTAATCATGGCCAAAACTAAGATGTCCAATAATTCCAGATTATACAACAATTTTTGGACACAAAATAAATGGACAAAAGTAATGTTGTAAATGGCAGGTTGTCAATATTTTGGTAAGACTTAAATGAAGAACTGAAGTAGGACTGAAATGTTTATATCAAACCCAAAACCAGTGGTTCCTAGACATCGTTACCCAGGGCTGATCAATCATTAACCGAGAAAATTCAATTTTGGTATTATTATAATTCTGGTTTCTATTACTATCGATGGACAGCAATTTGGCCATCATTGATTCGATTCAGTAGGTCCTTCGCAATAGAAGCGTGCTCTGTTCTGTTTGTTATTGACATATAACTGTCAACAACCCATGTGACGTTCTCATATACTACTGCTCAAGAAAATATCATATGGATGTGTATAAGATAGAGACTTCGACACTTCATTGTCAATATTGCGAGATTATCTGTTCCTTGGAATTTAATAAGGGCGCAATATTGTTTCGTGTCATTCAGTATATGTACGTTTGATACTATAGTGAAAAATGTCAATAATATAATATAGAGTTTAGTTTTATCTTCAATATTAAATGTCATATGATTTTTGAAATTTTTGGAATCCATGACGAATCTGGTGATCTAGATTGTCTGAACTCTAAGAGAAGTATAAATAAAAGAAAAAAATATAAACTAGTGGGATGTATGGCATCGTGCCTTAAGGCAAATTGCTGGAACTTCCCGTACCGTAACAAAATGTTCGAGGAATTTTGAATGTTTTCGAATAGATTATTATAAATAAATATTGTAACATTGTCTAATATTTATAAGAATTATATAAACTGAATTGCAAAGTTGAAATTATTTGTATAAAGTATATTACAACTACTCGTATAGTTAGAATTAAAAATAAAATCTGAATTATTTTCGATATACAAAAAAAATTTTTTTTTGAAAAAAAAAAAAACGTTGAAACAAAAATTATTTTTTTCCAAAATCAATTATTTTGTTAAGACAAGCAGAAAGTTCTTTGAATCATTTGAATCGGACGCTTAGTTCTGCCATTTTTCACACATTTAGCTCCGTATCTTCGAAATGGCTGGGCCTGCCTTTGCGAAAAACTAATAAACACTTCTCCCAATCATTACTAATTGAATGTTTTTTAGATCATTCAAATCGGATGCTCCGTTCTCTCAAAAACTCGATTTCTATTTTCTGCACTCTTTGCTCTTTATCTCCGTAACTGCTGGACCTGCCTTTGCCAAAAACTAATCAGCACATCTCCCTATCAATAGGAATCGAATGTTTTTTGAACCATTCAAATCGGTTGATCCGTGCGCCCGAAAACTTGAGTGGAAATTTGTATCCATACATACATATATAATACACTCACACACACATCCATTTTTTCTGAGGTATGCCAAAATGTTCAGAAACCTTCAAAACGTCGAAAAATGTAAAAAATTTCAATTTCGATTTTCGCCCCATTACAATAACTTACCCTACGGGAAGTTAATTATAAGCATATCAGTGCAAAAACTGCAAATTAAACATTAATTAATATAAA